GTGTGTCTTTTTTCGCCAAGGTCTCACTATGCAGTTCAGGCTGGCCTCAAAGTCAGAGACCCTTCTGAGTGTGTGTGTGTGTGTGTCTTTTTTCGACAAGGTCTCACTATGCAGTTCAGGCTGGCCTCAAAGTCAGAGACCCTTCTGTCTCAGCGTCCTGAGTGCTGGGATTACAGATGTGTGCCACCTCGTCCAACTGGAAAGCTTTTGAAAAATGAGCCTCATTGAGGTCTTATTTACAATACAACCAGAGATAGCAGCTTTTGTTTTAGGGTATAAGCAAATTTATTTTTAAAAATATAAAGGCAAGAAGTAAGCTCCTGCTAGCTGAGAGGGGCTTCTGAGTAGGATACCCTAAGTAGCAGCTCTCAGGTGACTGCGCTGCACCTTTGTGGCCATTCCCACTCTCCACGTGGCTCCCTATGGAAGCTCCTGTCTGACCACGGCAGGGTGAGCGATGCGGATGAAAGCGAGTCTCACTTGGTGCGCCTATACAGGAGATTCAGGCCTGATGGGGAGGTGCCAAACAGGTCAGGTGTAGGGTACACAATGAGAGATGAAATGCCAGAGGGCACAGGCGGCTCTTCACAACCTTCAGGAACAAGTCCCCGGAAGAGCATCCTCCCAGCAGGGGCCATAGGTGCCTCAAACTGATCTGAGTGGACCTGGACAATGAACCCCAACCCCATCCAGCTAGGAGTCCTGGGCAGCAGCAGTAGGTTGGGGAAGAGGAGCAGCCAGCCTCTCGCCCAAGCTGTGCTGTTGAGTCCCACCTTCCCAGTGGCTTCCGGGTTGGTGGTTCTGGGGAAACCTCTCAGCAACTCCATGACCATCTTCAGCCCCGGCAGGACTGGCTGTAGTGATGTCTGTCAACGGCCAGTGAAAGGATGGTTCTGGGCTCCTTGGAGCCTCGCCCCTGGCGGACCACCTTCCCCTTGTCATGCTGGGAACAGGCAGGATGTAGGGCCAGGTACCACTTGCAGCTGGCTTCCCATTTTGCCTGCAGACAGCAACGCTGCCCGCAGTTCCCCTCACTGTGTCTCATGACACAGTTTGGTCTTGAGCAGCAGCAGCACATCACAGGACAGATCCAACCCACCTGCTGGGGCCTGCCCGCCCCACTACAGACCCGCTCTGCCTCTCTGCCCCTTCAATGTGCTGGACAACAACCTGCTGGTTGTGCTCATATGTTGCACACATGCTGGTGCGGGGATCCAGGGACAAAGGTGATGCTGCTTGCATCTGCTGGTCTTCTCAGGCCCTCATCTCACTGTCCTACAAACTGACTGCTGCCTGAGGTGCAAGGCTGTTTCCTTAGAGGCGCGAATGAATCTAATAAGCAGGCTGAGTGAGGCCAGAGGAAGAGGCTTCTGGCAAAGCCCTCAGCATAGCTGTGACCAGGCCAAGTGGCTCATCAGGCTTCCCAGCACTGCAACTGCCCCTATTAATTTCCTAAAGATTACTCAAGCACATCACTTTGTGCAATTATTTCCGATCTCTCTGAACCACACGTTCACAAATGGGTTCATTTTAAACACCCCACTGGAAACTGAGAGCTTGCGGAGCTTTCCACTGACTGCCTCCCTAGTTAGTGATCACCTACCCCAGCACAGCCCAAGCGTCAGCCCAAGCCCTGCACCGTGGGCAGTGAGGACGGTGCCCCGAGCCTGTAGGCTCTTCCTAAGGGCTGTCAACTAGGGGAATGGACCTCAGCTCACAGGCAGCCAGGGAGAGAGCTCCCCTGGCACTTCCTGAGATGCAGACAAGGAGTGGGGTGCACCTTCCTGCTCTGCTGCCCTTGGGGGCACGTTGCAGGCACATCTACATCTAAGCCTGCATCCAGGTCCTGAACCCTTTTGGTGGCCACCAGGACCCTCTGCCTTCTTGATGTTCCCAGGGAGAAGGCAGTCTTGCAGGCAGGCCAGGGACCACAGTAGGAAGAAGGGCTAGCCGGCCAATGCAGAGGTGCAAGCTGGCTCCACAGCTGCCTTCTCCTGCAATATGGTTTCAGCTCTGCTGGGCACTGCCAAGGGTAGGATTCCCCAAGGTTACGTCACTGAGCATGAGCCTGTGTAGCAGGTATTTCTGGGTGGAGCTCTTCTCCCACATTATTAAGAAGAGATGACAGGAAAGCACCTCAAGACATCCTGCATAGGCTTCATGAGGGAACTTCTTTCCCAGACTCTTCTGGGCCACAAGGTGCAGCCCACGAGCTCTGGGGTTACGTCTCACCGCTTTTCATACAGGAGCCAAGGACCTGCTCCACATCAGATGGATGTGGAAGGGCAGGAGACAACAGATCTATGGGGACACTAAATGTAGCCTCCCCCTAACTGGGAACTTTCAAAGACTCAATGACAAAATGGGAAGGCGGATGATTGCAGTCTTAGACCCACCTGCAACAGGGGCTCCCAGCCCAGCAGGGTGTGGGTCTACTTGTAAACTGTGAGGCGGGGGCAGCGGCCGCACACAGACCCCACATGGTACCAGCTTCATGTTTCACAACTTTAATAGAATATTCTAACTATTCTGTACAAATTGAAAACACCGTATTCAGTTACAAATGTGTTATCAGGTAAGGCTGAGCACTCTCTACACGCCTGGTCAGTGTGGACACAGCTGTCCCCAGGCCAGAGATCACTGCCACATACTCGAAAACCCCACACACCAGCCGCCAACCAGTCACACCAAACCCAGGGCTCTTAGGATAGGATGAGTGGTGGAGTCCAGAAATGGGGGTTACCAAGAAAGCAAGATGTAACATTCACACTCTGGACCGACAAGCTGTAATCTGCAGCCCCTCCCCTCCCCCAAAGACCTTCCCACAGCAACATGTGGTCTGCATGTCACAAAACAAGCTCCCGCCCTTAGCAGCTGGCTGCAGGAAGCAGCACAGGCCATGCTCCTGCTAGGAGACAGCAAACCCTCCTCCTGGTCAAGTCACCAATATGGTTTCATCAATGGTAAGGACGAGCAACTAAGTTAAAAGTCCTCCAAGCACAATGAATAAATAAATACATGGGTATCACTACAGCTCCTGCCTCAGAGAAGGTGTGCGCCACAACCCACCCAACCCCTAGCAAACTAAAACACAAGGAAAAACGCTCTAAGTAAACGCAGCCTTACTCTACTCAGCTCTTCTGAGATGATTAGGATATAATGGCTGAAGCAGCTTCTGAGCAGTAGGATCAGCAGTGGAAAGTGGAGTTTCTTTGAATCAAAGGGAGGGACTCAGCCAGTCTGCAGAAGAGGCTCCGGGAGCCTGGAAGTGGAGCTCCCAGATCTCTGTCCTTTCCAGGAGTGACTCCCCTAACCCATGCGGTGTATGGACCTTCTAAAGGGCAGGGCCTAGGCAGGTCCAGGGCTGCAGGCACCAAGGCCACAGAGGGTGCTAGAACTAAACCTCCTATTTCTGAAATGCATTTCTGTTGCCACTGTACAAGTTAAGCAAAATAAAAGAAGGAAAAAGGAAAAGTGAAAGTGAAAATCATGCACTTGAAAACGTGTTAGACATTATAAGCACTGTCCATATGTTGCGCTGCAGCACGGCGTGAGGCCCTGCCACAGCTGGGTCCTGACAGCCATCCCTGAGGTGGCCACTCCTCACTGCTGCTTGCATTCCGCTGGCTGGCTGGGCTCTTTCTGCAATGAGAAGACAAGACTTGTAAAGAATGAAATTAGTGTCACCCAAGTATCTCCAACCCACAGCGAAAACCAAGACTCAATTAGTTCATTCATTCTTAATGAAAAAATAGCTACCATAAATGGCCTCTTCAAAAATCAGCTAATTCCCCAAAGAAAAGCCACAGTGAGACTGACTTTTGTTTTAGACACATTTGTGAAACACTAACTCATGGTTAGAAGGGTGTCCTTGGGGCTGCAAAGATAAATTACTACTAGATAGGAGGGTTCCATATAACATGCTGAGAGGCAACTGCACCTCCACAGGTCTCATGTCTGAAGTACAGCTCTGTTCTAGGAAGGACTGTGCTCTGATGCTCAGAGGGAAGGCATCCTTTCTAGGGGGGCTTCCTCTTTTCACTCTCTACGAAGCACCTGCGCAGATTCACACTACTAGACTACAGTGCAGAAACAGACTGGAGGGGCTGGGGATTTAGCTCAGTGGTGCAGTGCCTACCTAGCAAGCGTGAGGTCCTGAGTTTGATTCCTGGTGTCCCCCACCCCCCAAAAAGAACAGACTGGGGTTTGGTCACCATGAAGTGCTGCACCAATCACACACAACTCACCAGCAAGAAAAATTAATCCTTCCAATACAGACATCCATGAAATGCCCCCCAACTAACAGATCAACTTCATAAAACCTGATGCAGAAAGACTGTACCTTTTCAAGCACATTCAGGGGCTCATAGGTTTTGTGTAAAGTCCAACAATAGCCTAAGAAATAGACAATGACCTTACCACTACTTCTGTACAATAACCTATTACCAAAATTCCTGGTAGTTGACATTAAATTACTAACTATAACTAGGCAAGCCTACAGTATTGCTAAGAAAATCCTGCACTATATCCTTTAAATAAACATCTGGGGCAACACTACCAACACCTTTTATGAGAAAATAACACTGAAGGGATGAAAAAATACACATAAAGCAGACGTAAGTCCACCAAGGAAGGACCTCAGGACCTGGTCTAAGCTCTGTTTCTAAGTGGAATGGAAAGAGCACAAGAACAAGCTCAAACTCTCCAGCTCAAACTCTGGGCTTGGGTCTTTGCCTAGCACAGCGACACCCCTCTCTAGCAGGGGACCCCCAGCCTCCCTGCCTGTGCTCAGCTGCCCCATAGGCTGCCCAAAGAGCCCAAGACTAGGACTAAACGGGCACAACAAAAACCTGAGCCCAAATGATGCTCATAAAGTGCTGATATTCTATACTGAACCACCAGGGTAAGCAGTGTGCATCAATGAGGACTGTGTGCTATCAAATGGGGACTGGGCCGGAAGACAAGACCAGAATCAAGATGTGGCTCAGGGGTAAAGCATTTGCTTAGCACGTATGAAGTACTCGTTTCTATCACTAGTACCACAGGGGCGGGGGAATCACAGGGTTTTGTTAAGTGCACAAGTGAGAGAAGGGCAGAGTCTCCACATCTCTAAGTATATACGAATTATACATAATGTCACTCACACTGAGTACTGTGTACTTCATCCTATGTTGAATAAAGTCATATATTTTTAACCACAATACAGTGCCTGTTTACCTTAAAACCAAGGCTGAGGGGTACAGCACAGTAGCAGAGGGTATATTAAGTATGTGAGAGGATCGGGGTTCAGGCACCCTCATTAAAAGAACACATGAAGAAAACACAAACCTATTCACTTATGTGATGAAGACAGTGGGGCAAAGTCCTAAGACAATGCCTGTCAAGGCTGTGAGGGTGAGAAGCCATAGGAAAGGCTGTGAGTGCCTGGCATCCTGGATCTAGGGAAGCCACCTCCTTTCTGTGCAGGAGGGCAGCCCTATGACCCACCCTTGCCAGGCTGGAGCCGGCACAACACACTGGAGCTCCTACACATGCGACACAAGAGCTCTGGAAGTGAATTTTTATGTATCCGATGTTTACTGTTTTTGGCCTGTGACATAAGCCAGGAAAGAAAAAACAAACAAACAACTCCCCACAACCCACCGTACACACATCTAAACCCAAGCACCCTCTGGAATGTCATGGATTTTGATGACACCCAGGTCACTTGATGCTAACTTGATTCCCAAGGGAGAGGGTTGGCTTTTTTAGAGGCAGCAATTCAGCCAAAAACTGGCCCACTGTGGGACCATTAAAGGTGGGGTTTTGACAGACACATAGAGCCTGAGAGGTGGAAGACAGGCCGCTAACACAGAAGTGCATCACCTGCACTATGGAAGGAGGCCATGTGCAGAGCCTGAACCCTGACCAGCTGGTGGACGTGGCCCAGAGTGGTGGTGCCACTGTGGCTTCAGTAAAAGAGACTCTCCCTCTGACAGTGCTGACCATAGGGTGGGGTGCACCTAGGACTGGCTTCAGAACAACTGCTGGGGTGGATCCCAGGCCCAGGGGATGTATGGGACCAGGCTGCGAGTTCCCCACAGGTAAGAGCCACTTCTGACTCTGCCGTGCCACCTACCCATCAGGCCTGAGCACAGCAGGAGGTGGTGCCCCAGATCACTAACCTCACTCTTTCTGTGACTGGCTCTTTCCTCATCAATCACAGAGCCACTGGCCTCACAACAGCACTTTTTACTGCCCATGCTCAGACAGATGCCAGTGCCTTTTTGGTTAAAAAATGGGCATCTTAAGTTTGGTTACCACTTTGTCTACCTAGTGGTTTACACAATGCCTGATTCATCAAGTGTAAACATTCAACAGATGGGTGGAGAAACTCCACTGGGCTGGTCTCTAGGGCCAGTGTCCAATCCTACTGTCCAGTCAGCACAGCTGGGGACAGAAAGAGTATGATGGTTTCTACCAGGACTGCTCATCCATGGTGGCTTCAGTAGCCATCCTGCAAGCTGTTGTCAGGGCCACCTGTCCTACCCTCTTCCTGGACAACGGTACTATTATCAATACTGTGAGTAACAGGATTGCTACTTTGTTAGCAAGATATCATGGGTTCAGAGAGCAGGAGATAAACCCAAATTGTTGCTGGTTTTAGAAGCCCAGCTAACACAGCCCTGTACCAACACTGCTCCTTGGAAAGCCCCCTGACAACCCTACATGTCAAGTATGCCTGGAAGGTCACTTCCTGTGTCCCCAAAGTGAGAGCAATGCATCGTACAAAGTACAGACTAACAATTTCCAAGTTAGGTATGAATGGATTCCACCTTACCTAGGAACGTATGAATGATTAACAGACAAAAATTACACCTAAATGGGGAAAAAATTGAAAGGAACTGTCAGCATGAAAGAAAATGAAATGTACAAAATTATACAGGAGGAAACAGCCATAATTCTCATGATACAAAAGGGCTGTAAAGTACTGAATGTGAGCAACTTCAACAAAGCAGAGATCCTCCTCAAAACGGCCAGAACATATTGTCTACACTCGTAACAGTACCAACTTCTCTCTTACTCGTCTCTTTTGCTTGCACAAACTCCATTGTTAGCAAAAACTCTGAAGAGGTGGACAGGAAGGAAGGGACAGAGATGTCACATCATAAGCCAAGGACACTAGGATAACCCTTTGGGGTTGGCACATATGGCTCTAGCTACTTCTCCCCATGCCTGGCCAGGTTTCCTGAGGTGCTGGCAGTGTGACTCACTACTTTGTGTCAACCCTCTCTGATCACAAGGTGAGATGCTCCTTAGAAAACAGGGACCCGTGAGGAGACAGAGGTGCAGGATGACAGAAGCGTGAACACACAACAGGGGAAACAGAAAGGATGAAAGAGAAAGGAAGGAAAAGAAACCAAGGAACAGAGCCTACAGAGATACAGTGAGACAAGCACTGTACAGAGGCCAAGGGTGTGCTGGGTGTGAGTATGGACACAAGTTGTCACCAGTCTCTGTTCTCTAACTGCAACCATGACTACACGAAAACAGGTGTAGTACCCACAGAACAGACACGGCCCAAAACACACACCTTGGCTTTGGGTCCACCACATGTCCACAGAGCAGCTGAAGGTGTCACTAGTTACCCCAAAATATTAACTGCTGACCAGTGGCCATCACCTTCCCCGCCCTCAGCCCCCGACTGTACTCCACTGGAGAAGCGAGCCAGTCCCATCCATGCGGCTGAGCACAGGTCGGCCTGTAGCAGAGTCCCCAAGATGTATACGCCAAAAGGCGGGACTTTTCCAAAAGCTCATTCCCAGGGTGGTATTTTAAGGCACGTTTCTGAAAAGTTGAAGTCCTTCTCCATCCTTCCCAAGGGGACGGCTGCTGTGTACATGCATTCAAGGGAACACGTGGGTGACACACTGACTCCAGCCCCCAGTTGTGTCCCTGGCAGCTTCTACTGCACATTCCACGTGGGGCAAATGAGGCACAAACAGAACACAGCTGGATAGAGACACAGATGACAGAAACGCAAGGTAATGGTAACTGTGACAGCCCAGCAGTGTTGTCCTAAAACATGGAAGAGCCACATGTTCTCTGTGTTGGGCACCAGCAAGTGGTCTAATGCCACAGCTCCTTGACTAAGGCCGCCAACTACAGATTAAAACCTAAATTACAGGTTAATTAATGAAGTTGCCCACTCGTTTTTCTTTTAAATGCCAGTTTTCTGTAGCAAACCCTGCCATTTATTTAACATTACCTGAGATAGATGAGGTGTGACTGAAAAACTGTTCAAATTTTTAAAAATTACAATGAAAGACACACTGCTATTAATCTCCCTCAAAATACTCCCCTTACTTCAAATTCATTTATCCCATCATTCTTGCCCTGTTGGCAAGTAGTCTTTTCCCACGTCTTCAGTGGTTATGTCATGGCTACCCTGATGTCCTGAACAGATTCAGTATGTTTCACTTACATGGTTGTTTTGACTTTGGGGAAGAGCCAGAACTTGAATGGTGCTACATTTGGTGAGTAAGGTGGATGAGGATAAACCATGTTTTTATAAGCCTGCCTGTTTGCAGAATGGCACTCAGCAGAAGCATATACCATATTTTTCATCACACCTCATAAGAGAGTCACGAAAAAGGAGTTCTAGAGTTGCTTCAGAAAGTGGCAAGAATAGCCAGGTGTCGTGACATACACCTGTAATCCCAGCACCCAGGAGGCTGAGGCAGGACTGCCCGAAGTTTGACACCAGCCTGAGCTACACAGTGAGTTCAAGACCAACCTACACTACACAGCAAGACCCTATCACAAAACAAACAACTCCCCTCAAAGTGGCAAAAACAATGGGAGTATTCAAAGAAAAGAGTATTTTGAGGGGGATTAATAGCACTGTGTCATTTATTGAAATAAATCTGTAAACATTCACCAGATTTCTTGATTGTCCCTTGTATATCTAAGCTATCTAGGGCTTTTTGAGTTCCTTAAACTCAAGTGGTGCAACTATGAAATTATACCTACAGTCCTATTATTCTACTTATTAACAACATATCCCAAAAAGTCCCTTCTTGTACCTTTTTTCAGACAAATTTCTTTTCTTAGAATTAAAGATCTGGAAAGTAAGGGTGCTTTACTGAGTGAGGCATACCGGTAACAACGTGGTGCAGTTGAAAAGCACTTTCCCGAACATTCATACCCAACATCCCGGTCATGTGTACATTCTTAAACAGTTACTTATCTAAATGTTTTTCTGCCATATTTCAAGTTTTCTAATTAGAAAACAACAAAAATGTATTTTAAACACCATTGCCTCAAAGTGAGGATCATTTCTAGAAGTCCAATAGTGTAGCATATGTAGGTTTGGGAAGCCCCAAAATAACTAACCTTGGGGTTAATTTCAGCATCGTCCTCATCTTCTGCCTCCTCATCACCTTCCAATTCCTGTATTAGAAGAAGCGAGAATTAGCTGGAAAGACTAACTTAAGGCTGGACTTCACTTCTTGTGGAGTTCAGTACCCACAAAACATAGGAAAATAATCCTTTGCTTTAGATGGAAGCAAACTGCTGCTACAAACCAGTGACTAAGTCACTTCCTTTGGACACACAATTACTTCTAGGTATCTTTTGGTTCTTAAGATAACCTCAAAATGAATTTCTGAAAAGTAGATTTGTTCAGTGATTATTTTCTAAGGTACATTTTCGTAAACCAAATGTAAGGGCAAAAGCTAAGGGGACTGCTGCAGTCTATGGCACGCACTCCCTCTCAGTTAAGCAGGGCTGAAGGCCAACAGCGGCTTCACAAAGAAAGGGCATAATGTGGTATTTCATGACTTCAGAGAAAGCCAGAGGACAGGAGACAGAGGGAAGGACATTCCAGGTAATCTGTTTCTTACCTCCTCTTCTCCTTCCTCGCCTTCTTCAAACTGGAGAGGGGAAAAACCAGGGAAACGTTTTTAGGTTTATAAAACCGTAATGGTAACCTGCCCCAGATGCAAGCCCCATCAAGTGTCCTTACAAGCCTACCTAAGGACAGCAGAAAGCCCAGCTTCTGCCTGCTGAGCAAAGGCAATGCTGGCACCACCCAGAGTAGGGAGAGATGCTGCAGTACCTGGCTAAGGGGCCAAGTGCTTATGGGCATCCTTTCCACAGGATGCACAAAATGGAAAGTCACTGAAATAAGGAGAATGGGGAAAAGCAACAAAGAAGCCAGGGAGTACTGGACCCAAATATGAATCAAGCCCTATGATTCCACTCCTGCTGTTACCTTCAGAGGGAGACAGGGCAGTAAGGAGATACATGCAAGGTGATGAGTTATTTCTTGATTTTCTACAAGGCTGACCTAAGTACACCAGTAGCATAATTTTACTGCATATGTACCTCACACAAGGGAGAAAAAGACCTTTATTAAGTAACATAATTAGGGGCTGGGGATTTAGCTCAGCGGCAAAGCGCCTGCCTGGCAAGCGCAAAGTCATGAGTTCGGTTCCCGGTACCGGAGAAAAACCAAAAAAATAAAAAATAAAAAAAAATTAAGTAACATAATTAGAACCTTGGTGTTTAATTTTTAAAACAAGTGACAACCAAAGTGCTCAAAGAATACTCGGACATTACAGCTTGTTGGTCTTGAATCAATTTCTCCTCCATCCAACATTTCACTGGTCAGACTCAGATTCACGTTCCAAAAGTAAAAGCTATTGCCACAGCAACCTCATCATTGCTGGCTACACAACCAGGGCACACAGAAATCCAGTAGGTTTTTCAGTTACAAACATTCCCTTTCTTCAAATTACTCAGGTAGTCCTTAGATACAACTTAAGCAGAATCTGGAAAAATCCTGCCATGCTGGTGTGGTCCAGGTTAAGTGGCACCCAGAGCCTGAATACCCTGCAGCAACCAGGGTGGGATGCGACTGTACAGCAGCACCTTTCCTACATATCCTAACAGGCCTCTAAGGGAGATGAGACTTCTTAACAGTCTATACTCTATAGGTCAGATCCGAGTCAGCCTCCAGCACCAATTTCCTAAGGTTCAACTCTAGCACTTCATCTGTCTCCTGAAGACGCTCTCAGAGGAGCCTGTCCCAGCGGTGCTTCAAACCTGTGCAAGGCGCACAGGAATCCAGGACCAGCACACTTACAATCTCTTCCTCCTCCAACAACTTTCTAGTTTCAGTTTATGACTCAGCTAACATTGCTGAAATGCTTTTTATACCTACACTTAGTAATACCCTGTGCCAGGAACAAGTGCCTGACAAGTGGAGCCACTGCCATTAGAACCATTTTATAGACAAGGACACTGAGATATACAGAGATCACAGAATTACTAAGAGGAAGAATGCGGACTTATCTAAGTAGCTGGATGAATGGGTACTTCTAACCTGTAGACCACATGGCTCACTGGCAGTGCATGCACCAAGTGCACAGGTGACCAAGTACATATGCACAAGCACACCGCCATCCTGACACTGCCTGCACTCTAAACAGGTGACCACCCACTGCCTGTGCAGGTCTTTCAAACTGATAGGTGTATGATCAAGAGCATCTGCACAGACCTGGTTTAGGGATGGGATTTCCCATGATCACCGGGGATGACCTCTGGCCCTTGGTGGGTGGCTATTTGCACTAAATTAACCTTAACATTAGTTCCTCAGTCATCAAGAGGCATATGTGGTCAGTCCTACTGCAGTAGACAGCAGGAAGGACACTTCCATGTCCAAAGAAAAGTCTACTATGAAGAGTTGGTCTAGAATTATGTTAATGGTGTGTCCTAAAACCTAAGTCTCTGTGACTATCCTGTTGCTTCAGGGACTCAACACTGCTGTGTCCCTGAGTCCTGAAACCGCCGCCACCACCACAGCCTGGGGACAAGCAAGCAAATTTTGGAAGTCAGATGACGACTCTAAGACTTCTCAACTGACACTTACCAGACTTTCTGCACTACAGCTGCTGGGGGAGCCTCAGCACAGCAGGTGCAGGATGAGGGGAAGTAGGCCACCACCGCCTCAAGGGCCCAGGTTCCCAGACCCCACATGAGTTCCAGTGACCTATCTAAAGCCCCAACAGACTCATGAGAAAGTGAACCTAAGAATTCCAAAAGCAAGAAAGCACTAGGCTACTAACGAACTCCCTCCACAGATCAGTAATTCAAGACAACCCAATCCTTGACCATGACAGGGACCTGTCTTGACTATTTGCTAAGCAATGCTCAGGGATTGTCTTGTGGGACAGGGATCTGTTTCTTGGGGTTGTGTCCCAGACCATATGGCCAAAGATTTTGTCTCATGAGTTCTTCGACACTTAAAAGCCTTCTAAGGACACAGCACACCCACAGGGTCTTCAGAGGACACAGTCGCTTACCATGGGACTAGGAATTGAATGCCTCACAGATATCTGCCTCTAATTGTCTCCTCTCCCTGGTCTATTTCCTCAGTCAGGACCACACATCTAGTTGATAGCACACCACAAATGTAAGGATTTGGGGCTTCCCAGGCCATTGTTCAGGACTTCTTTTTACCCACAGAGGGAAGCATGAAGGGGTAGCTCGTCTCTGTGTCCCTGAGCCACATACATTGTCATCATCCTCTATGGCCTCCCCAGTGAAGTAGAGCACAGCCCGCGGCACTATCCGCTCACGGAAAAAGTGTCCAATTTCAAAATCTGAGGCTAACGTGAATTCAGAATCTTCATCCTGAGGAAAAAACCAAAATGTTAACTCATTTTAGCGGGATAAACTCACTCACTCAACCCCTTCACCCAAGTCTAACCCCTCACTTCTGGCTTGCTGGACTTAACAACAAAATCCAGCATTGCTGGGTGGTAGTCACCACATACTCAGACACCTAAGAGAACCTTAAGCACCTTCAAAGCAACTCCAAAGTAAAATAGCAAATCAGGTAGGCAGTGCAGGCCTGCAGCTCCTCTACCTGCTTGCTCCTGAAGCCATCCTATAGAACTCCCAACCCCACAGTGAACTGACTTCATGTGCATCCCAGATCCCAGGAAGAGAAAGGGATTAAAAAGAGTAGGCACCCACTCAGGGAAATAGAGACTTCAACAGGACAAGAAGACAACAACACAAATCTTACCAGTGATTCACCATCCCCAGAGGCTAGAAAAAAGACAAAACATATCTACATTACATTGACAACCAAAAAAATTAAAGCCCACAAAGAAGCTTAGCCAGCACAAAATGGGACATTTCACAGCCCAAGGGCTTGGCTAGATGTCACCTAAGCTCTATACCTCATGCCTTTGTAAGCTCCTCTATCGTGAATACTGAAATTGATGCCCTATGTCTCCGCCTTGGCCATGCATGGGCTGCTACCCAGCTGTGCTTTTATTTTTGCTTTGGAGAAGGGGTCTTGCTGTGCTGCCCAAGCTACTAGCCCTAAACTCATGATCCTTCCACCTGTTTCCCAAACTGATGAGACTACAGGGGCAGCCCACTGTGCCTGGCTTAGATGTTTTGTAGTTGGATCTAAAATGGCCCCCAAAGCCTCGTGATTCGAAGGTGACTGGATTACCAGGGCATGCTATAGCTGGCTGGGTGTTGGGAGGCGGGGCCTGATCAGACGAGCAGGGTCACTGCAAGGGCACATCTCCCTCTCTGACTCTCTGCTTCGTTGCCACCATGAAGTAAGCAGCTTTACTCTGCCAGACCCTTCCACCACGCCTTCCTGCCTTGGAACAGGCCTAAAAATGTGAGCCAAAATAGATCTCTCCTCCTTTAAGCTGCAGGCATTGGACATTTTGTCCCAGAATGAAGAAAGTGATAAGACACCATGCTTCTTACAGACCCAGCTATAGAAAGCCAAGATTTAGAAATCCATGAGGGTTGAAGGGCAAACAGGAAGAAAGTCCTCTTAGCATCCCTGGCTGCCACTGGGTGCATTAATACTACAGGGGGAGATACTTCCCACCTGTGGAACTACTGTGGTATAGGTACTGATGCAGGAGCAGAAAACCTCAAGCCTGTGTGCTCAGAGGACTGCTGAGGTGCCGCAAGAAGTGCACTCCGGTCTGTCTTGGAGGGAAGCACATGCTGAGATATTTGCTGATGCCCCCTAAAGAAGGGCACACCTCTTCCCCAAGACGATGCTCAGCTGTAGTCAACACACACAAGACCACGCAGACTGTGGTGCTGACACTGAACCAGGCAGGACAGGAACAACAGGGACTTCTAGCCACACTCCATCAAGCTGAGTTGACAGTTGTCACATGATACACAATTCAGACCTCTGGCTGAACAATTGTTACGAGGCCTCAGCTTCAAGCACTAGACCTGTTCAGTGTAGAGATGTGGTGGTTAAGTGTGGATACTACCCACAAGATACGGATCCCACATGGGCAGAAGACGTTCAGAACCTGGGCCACCTCCTGGGGCACAAGGAGTCTCTGCAAGTGGTTTTAGGGCTGGTTTGTTGATTTAAAGATAGGCAGCTGGGCCAGCTACCTAATGTTTCCTTCATTTTAAAACAAGTCATCAATTTTGTCTTTTCTTGTCTGCCCACTGCCACTGGTCCCACCATCCTCCCTTCTAATTCCTAGCACTCATCACTTGAACCTATATTATGTATTAATCTACTTGTTTTAAAAAGAGCTTTAATGCGGTATAATTTACATACCATAAATCCACTGTGCATGTACATCTTAATAATTTTGGTAAATTAATTTTAGATTTGGGCAATCATCACCATAAAACAATTTTAAAACATCAAAAATTACCCCCCAAATTTTAAGTTTGCTTATCAACTCCATTCTTAGTCTGAAAGTTATTTTAAAACCAGTTTTAAGGAAACTTCTTATGAACTGGGAGTGGTGGTACAAACCTGCAGTCCCAGCACCCTGGGAAGGTTAAGGCAGGAGGATAGAAATTTGAGACCAGCCCGAGCAACTTAGTGAGACCCTTACCCCCAGTCCTGCCCGCCACCAAAAGGGCTGGGGATGCATCTCAGTGTGAACGGCCACAAAAAAAACAAGCAAAAACCATTTGGAGGCCCTGACTTCAGGACTGAAAGCCTCCCTACTTCAGAGGTACTTCACACAGATAACCTCCAATACACTCAATGCAAGGTTTTGAAGGGAATTTTCGCAAACAGGGAAACTTGAGCATGAAACTTATGATTGTTTGCAAACTTCAAACCTTTTAGGTCAAAGTCAAATTATAGAAAAGAAGACAGTCACCACAGTAATAAATAATGGCCTGTGAAGGGCAGCTTGATGGATGAGGACTCTGAGCTCGCAGACAAAGCAAAACTCAGGCATTTGGTCCCATGGTCCCAGGAACAGAGCTGTTAAAAGCCTCACACACAACTGACTGCTGGTAGTGGGAATGCCCACGTCTTTATTTCAAATTATGTTCTTGTCATGAAAAATAAAAAAAATGTCTCTTTGTATCCTTGTTTTAACATTCCCAAGTGGTCTGGCTACATATACTCTCACGATTAGAGAATTATCTTGTTGACTTTCAAAAACATTTACTCTTCAAATTGACTGCAAGTAAGCTGGGCATGGTGGCACACTCCTGTAATCCCAGGAGGTGGACAGCTGAGGCAGGAGGATTGCTACAAATCTGAGACCAGTGTGGGCTACACAGTGAGTTCAAGGCCAACCTGGACTACACAATGAGACCCTGTCTCAACATCCCAGCTAAAATCCTGTGCTCTATGGAATTATTAGAAAGAGAGAGAGAGAGAGAGAGAGAGAGAGAGAGGGAGGGAGGGAGGG